GTTTTCTGTTTTTTCCAGCACTCCTACTCCCTAATTCCTGCCTATTTTCAGCCTCATCAATGCTTTGTGACTTTGTGCAGTCCTTTGGAATTTCTGTTCTTTTCTATTGGCCTAAAAAGCTATTTGTATGATCATTGATTTTACTATTCTCTCTCTCTTTTTTTTTTTTTTTATGCCATGAAGCTCATAAAGGAGTCTCACTTTGTCGCCAGCTGGAGTGCAGTGGTGTGATCTTGGCTCACTGCAACCCCCGCCTCCTGAGTTCAAGTGAGTCTCCTGCCTCAGCCTCCCGAATAGTTGGGACTGCCGGCACACGCCACCATACCCAGCTCATTTTTGTATATTTAGTAGAGACAGGGTTTCACCATGTTGGCCAGAATGGTCTTGATCTCGACCTCATGCCTCAGCCTCCTAAAGTGCTGGGATTACAGGCGTGAGCCACCACGCCCAGCCACCATTCTCTTCTTAATACCTGGGCTACTTCCTTGGCCCTCTGTCATTCTATTACACCAGACTCCCAATCTGCTTTCTGCTTTCCTTTCCCCTAAGCAAGTCTGGCGATTATCCCCAGTCTCTCTTTTTTCTCCGTTTTGCTAGCATTTATAAACAGCTCAAATTTCCCATCCATAAGAGTCAACAAAACAAACTCCATTTGGCATCTCTCTAGCTGTACCCCATAATTGTCCTTGCATTTACCATGTAGAAGCAGAACCAACTCCTTGCCCTGTTCCTGTTCTGAGTAATTGGGTACATTGGCTTCCAAAGTCCGGAAAAACATAATGATGACACCACTACTACACACACATCAGGGTTATTATATCCAGTTCTAGTTCACCATATAAATGAAACCTTGAGCCTGAGCCTTTCCTGTAAAATTAGACTTCCTAAAGTCAATCAAACAAAAGAAAATACCTCCAACTTTTACAATGCTGATGTTTAAAAACATGATAGTGTGAGTATTGCTTTTCCCTGCCATAAACAAACTAATTCTGAATCTAGAAACTTGGAGATTATGTAGTTTTTTTCCGTTAAATACTTGTTGTAATTTCTATTTGGTAAGTTCTTCTAAAGCCTGGATTTCATTATAAACTTTCCTTGCAAGTAAACTTTTAAAAAGATTTTGCCCTGAGGCTTCCTTTGACAGTTATCAAAAATTTTGTTAAAGTATTATTACAAAAAAGGTGAAATCAAGACTCTCATGCAAATATAAATGGACATGTAACAAATACTTTATTCAACTCATTAGTTAATGAGAGTGTATTTGAGTAGCCAGGTATTTATAGGCAATTTAACAATGGAACATTAGTATAAGGTGACAAGGTTAGACACAATCTGGTTAATGTCTCACAAGGTAATAAATTATAACTTTTGGTGTTACCTGTTCCACTGGAAAGGAAGTAGGGATTTGCATTCTTACTGGAAAAATATCTACCAGTTAATGTGTAGATTCCGTGTAGGACCTGTAAATCAATAGTGAACAGTGAGATGAACAAAGTACAATCTCCTAGTCCCTGGTTTGACATTGAAAAGGGCATGCCACTCACCTTTTTGCCTTGTTTCCAAAGTTTGGAATAATTTTCCTTTCAAAATGAAATGATTTCTCAGTCAGTTGTCTATTCCAGGTAGCCTTTCTTCTTCCCCCAGTTACAGTACATGTCAAGCTTATTCATGATTTCCCAACTGCCAAATTCAATGGATATTTTGAATTTTTATTTTAATCTTTTTGCTTTGACTCATACCGTTCCCTTAGGGCTTGTCAGCAGGTAAAGGAATGACCTTCTGGGGACTGTGCAAAATATGGACTGCTTTATGAGTTTGTGTGTCATTCTCGTGCAGGGGACATGCCAATCTTCTCTGTAGATTACAATTTTAGTATATGTGCTGTTGAAGTGAGCACTTCTGAGTAATTTTGATTGTTTTAATGTAAAATTTCTCATTGTTTAAAATACCAGGTGGGGGCCAGGCATGGTGCCTTATACCTGTAATCCCAGCACTTTGGGAGGCTGAGGCAGGTAGATTGAGCTCAGGAGTTTGAGACCAGCCTGGCCACATGACAAAAACTTGTCTCTATAAAAACAATAGAAATATTAGCCAGGCATGGTGGTGCATGCCTGTAGTCATGGCTACTTGGGAGGCTGAGGTGGGCGGCACTTCAGCTTGGGAGGTGGAGGTTGCAGTGAGCTGAGATCATGCCACTGCACTCCAGCCTGAGTGACAGAGCAAGACCGTCTCAGAAAACAAACAAACACCACATGGCCAAATGAAAGATGTCTGTGGTCTGGATTTGGGCCAAAAGCTATAATCTTACAGCCTTTGATTATTTTTTTTTAATACATGCTGAATTCTAAGAGGAGCTGACCAATCTCTTGGGCTTTCACTTGGGTTCCATGGATTCCCAGAACAAAATGCAAATGCAAGTGAGACATCATTGGGATTCCCTGCACACTATCTCCACTTTTGTAAGTACCTCTGGAGTTTGGTTTGAATTACATAATATCTCCTACCTTGCTGTACCTTGAAGGACCAACAGCAGGTACCTGACCCAGGATCAACCAATCATATTTTTTTAAGAGTTTGTAAACAATTGAGATGGTAGTCTTCTGCTGGTAGTTTGAATAGAGGATGTGTAAACTTGGTAGCTGTGTACTTAGAAGCAGAGAAAGCTTGTTTTCAGAGAGAAGAATGAAGCAGATAAGTGTCGTTTGGAAGGACAAGCAGCAGCATAGTTACCGGAACAGTTGCTTTGGGAGTCCTGATGGCATTCCAGCCCCTTGTCCCAGTTCGGGCCCAAGTGTTTAGCCTTTGGGACATATACAGACACCCTATTTCCTTTTAATTAATTGCCTCTTAAAATTACTATTATTAAGTTAGCTTTCAAGGGTTTCTGTTACTTGCAAACAAGGTACCTCAGAAGAGAGGAAAATAAGGCTCTTTGTGGTGGTGCTGTACAGGATATCATTTTGCAGGATATATACTGTGTGTTTTCTAGGTTGACTGGAGTCTAGTGTTAGTTGTAAGAAGTGTTACATAAACATTGGGTTCAAATGAGTCAGAATAAAGTCAACTAAAAAAAAATTAAAAATACATACATGGACTTCAGAACAAAGGTTTATTACTGCTTAATGGGGCCAAAGGGGCAACACAAAGCATCGAAAACATCACTGGCTCACAACAACAGTCACCTTGTTACCTTCTCGGTTGCATTTGTTTATTTCACAAGGCTTCATTCACACGTAAAAACAAGATACTAATCCAAGTTCATAACAATTATAAAAGTAAACATTTGTTGGGACAATGTACAATAAATTGCACTTTTTAGACGAGCATTACATTTACATTTATAGAGTGTACTATACATAATATATGGAATTATGGAAACATCTAATTGGTCATTGTTTATAGAGGAAGAGGCTGATCACTAACGTTTACTTTGTAGTTAATTAGTACTGTTCAGACTAATCAACTCCTTTATTCTAGAACCTGTTTTCATTAGAGATGCCCTGGACAAAATCACAGAATTCATAAAAATAGATAATTCAGAATCTCTGCTACCTCCTCGGCAAGGGAAAGGTAGGAGTAGGAAAGAAAGGAAGTGGGGCTGACTGAGAAACTTCATCCCTCATTTGAACTAAGGATTCATGCATTATGCAAAATACCAAAAATAGAGAAACTGATACAATAGGCTTTTGGGACATCTTGGATCTGGGACCATCTCCAGCCTTATTCTTGTGCTTTCATGACACCAGAGTCTTTCGATGCATTTATATTCTCACAATTCAGTCCATATATTTTATCCCATATATAATATATAGTTATTAAAAGATTTTACATGTTACTGTCAATGAAAAAAGGAAAATAACTTAAAATGTTCATTTTCTACTCAATGATTCTTTTTTCTTAAGCTTTTCAGAATACTAATGACAAATGAGAGACGGAGGTAGGAAGAGTGGGATATATTAATGAAATGTTTTTATAGCAGGCAGCATATTCAGGTAGAGATAAGCTTGACATATGTAGCCTTTTAGATGCAAACTGAGAAAGGAATGCCAGACAGCTGACTGTAGTCACTAAAATCTCCTATACATCCACTTTTCTCATTACAGCTCAAGATCGGCATCTCCTACTGAGGTGCCACCAAGGTTGAAGTTCTCATTTTGTTCACTTTTGAAAGATAAAGAATTTGCTAAGGTAAAGGACTTTGCCTGTATTAAATGGAAGCCACTATGAGAGAGGAAGAATGTGTTGGGACAGGTCTAGTTCAATGTGACTATCAGCATGGTGACTAGAAAGAGTTTTACATCTGGTAGTAGGAAACAGGCTACAAAGCTGTGGTCTGGCCTTCTGGCTTTGATCATCATTTCTTTGATCAACCAAATACACATTTGAGTTATCTTGAAATGTGTATTTTGTTGTATGGTACCCAGGTAAACAAAAGAAGCAGAGATACTCTACATAAAATTCCTCTAATTAAACACACATACAAACCTAACAGTGTTCAAGTCATACAACAGAATTTCTTCACTCTCTCACTTGTAATTGGAGCAAAAGAGTCAGTATTTTGGAGGGTTTTTTTTGTTTGTTTTTTGTTTTTTTAAATTGAGACAGAGTCTTGCTGTGTCACCAGGCTGGAATACAGTGGCATGCTCTTGGCTCACTGCAACCTCTGCCTCCCGGGTTCAAGCGATTCTGCTGCCTCAGCCTCCCAAGTAGCTGGGATTACAGGTGCGCACCACCATGCCCAGCTAATTTTTGTATATTTAGTACAAACAGGGTATCACCATGTTGGCCAGGATGGTCTCAATCTCTTGACCTTGTGATCCGCCCACTCAACTCCTAAAGTGCTGGGATTACAGGCGTGAGCCACTGTGCCTGGCCATTTTGGAGTGTTTTTAAGGGCAAGTTATATAATATAATTATCTTGCTTATCAAGTAAAAGTGTTCTTTCCCAGAAGATAAAACAAAACCAAGGCATTTACTTTTTTAAAAGTTTTTTTTTCCCCCCCTTTGGGATCCCAAAATCAGACAACCACCTAAGTGTCTGATGTCAAGATTGGTGGAAGAAGAGTTGGTAGACTAATTTTAGCAAAAGAAAAAGAAGGTTCAAGCCCTTACATTAGTTAGACATGTGATTCTCCTTCTGGGTGACTGACTGAATCCTTTAAGGATCTAACTGTATTGCCTCTGCCCAAATCTGTATTCATTTCTCTTGTTTTCTCACTTCAGTTAGGAAATAAAGCAACTAGTTATTAACTGGAAAACATTTTAAGAAAATGGAGCAGGGGTTGGAAATATACCCTAGGAAAAAAAAGAAACAAGATACATACTATTAAATATCCCTGCATCTGTACAAAGGTTGCTTTTCTACTTTACCAGGGACATTTCAGAAAGCCAAAGAAGAAGAAAGTACTAATTTAGCAGCTGGGAGAGGGGCAGGAGAAGACACTGGTTGAATGGCATTCTTATTAGTGTTCCTGATAGGCACTCATAAATAAACAGAACATTAAGTAACTGAGAATTTCTTTGCATTCAATTATGTGTAACTAAATATAACCAAATTGTGACATGGCTCAGGATGTGGGAAGCTAGCAAACATATGCACTGAAAAATCCAGCTTGGTTTCTTTCAGAGTTAAAGAATGTGTTGAGATTCTCAAGATATAAAAGTTGATGAACTGCATTACCAAGTTGAATTTCATTCATTTAATGTTTTTTACAGAATTTCATGAAAATAGAAATGATCAGTTCTCAGATATTACAAATATTAGATTTCCAGAGGAATGTTTTATACAGAGTGCATCCTAGGAAAGGATGGAAAACACTAGAATCTTTTGAAACTTTCCTGGATATTTGGTTAATCTCTTCTAAATGAAATTCAAGAGAAGAGATGCAATTCTCAAAATATATCTCAAAATAAGTGAAATTAAAACTAGCAGTTACTTCATGCTGGAATGCATGAGTTTTCAAACAATAGACAGTGAAGGACGTTTTGTTTGGAATATTGCTATTGTAACATCGTATGAACAATCATATCACATACCAAATTCTGAATCTTCTTTGTTTCTAGTCTTTACTATTGCTACTAACTCAAAGGCATTGCAGTGAGGGAGAGTTTAGGCTTATGGTACCAACAGGGATACCCAAGTATGATATGGGGCTGCAGAATAAAAAAACTATGTGTTGCCCTCATAATCTTTTGAAAGAGCTACAAGAAAACTCAAAAGATGGACTTACCAAACTTGACATGTATGCACCTGGTGATTTTTCTTTTTTGAGACAGAGTTTTGCTCTTGTCGCCCGGGCTGGAGTGCAATGACGTGATCTTGGCTCACTGCAACCTCTGCCTCCTGGGTTCGAGCGATTCTTCTGCCTCAGCCTCCTGAGTAGCTGGGATTACCGGCACTTGCCACCACGCCTGGCAGTTTTTGTGTTTTTAGTAGAGACAGGGTTTCACCATGTTGGCCAGCTGGTCTTGAACACCTGATCTGAAGTGATCTGCCCACTTCAGACTCCCCGAGTGCTGGGATTATGGACGTGAGCCACCGTGCCTGGCCAGGGGGGATTCTTCTCTTAAAAGGAAAGGGACTACGAAGTTGAACAAGGTCTCCAGATCAGCGATTGACCTAGGGCCATTATGGTTCTCCCTCACCTACTATTCTTTAAAGGAAATTATGCTTTAGGCATTCTGTGGAATGTACTTATTTTTCTAAGTTGAAACAAGCTCTGTACAGAATGATGAAATTCACAACACAAAAGAGCGTCTTTAATTTAGCTGGCAATTTGATAAGGCAACTGCACGGGGCTTCTTGGAATTATAGCATAAAGTACCAATAAAGCTAACAGCCTATACTAAATGATTTACAAAAACAAGTGCCAAGATAGCATTTTCTAGCTATTATATTTTACAAAAAAAAAAAAAAAGTTAGCTTATCTAGACCACCACGTAGAGAATATTAATTTCAACATAGACACGTGGAATGCTGGGTTATGTTCCTTTTTGGTAAGAAGAAAACAAATTTTGTAATGAAAGATGTCAGAACAATGAAAGATTCATGTAAGAAGAGTATTATCTGATGAGTATAACAGATAACAATCACATCTGTTTTATGGGCTGTAGATGATATAAACGCAGATAAAGGGGATTTCACTTTTTAGAACATAAAAGACCATTTAGAGGAAAAGACCCACTGGGAGCAACTTGGTGCATCCTCCTTGGGTGGAGATGCTCTTATTTGATTCTTACTTCTAAGAGTGTGTTACTTTTAATTGCAACATATGGCACAGATGAGAATCATTCTGGCACTACAGAGTTTAAGATCCTTTGCAAATAATATGTTCAACAATGAGGGCAATGATGAATATCAACAAATGTTATTGTACATACCTAATAGTAGTTTGGTTGATGTGAAAGGATCAGAGGCCTCCAAAATATCTTACAAAATAAAAATAGTTTCGCTCTTATCAAATAATTTCCTGCAAGGACTATTTTTATAGGCATGTTAAATATAATTGATAAAATATTTCCACTAATTTTTAAACAGTAACTTTACCTTTCCATGAGATAAGTATTTCTCTAAAGGTTTTATATTCAATCAAAAACGTTACAAATGCATTTGTATCTCTTTATCTGTGGGTATGAAAGACACACTTTCAGGGAACTACAGAAATCAGAAAAAGTTGCCCAACATTAAACTAAGATGCTGTGAGGCTGACCTCTATTTCCTGTTTCAGTACTATGTCCTATAACAAAGTTGCAGTATGTTAGTGTTTCCTTAGCAAGTATATATCAACATTAAAGGAAATACTCTGTCCCTGGTTCTGTATTCCACTATATTCAGCACAATGGCTGATCCTGGGCCTTATTAGGCGTCTCTGGTGAAGGCCGCCTAAGTGTGTAAGTTGTACTATCCACCTTTAACTTTAAAATTGTCAGAAGTCCCATCTGTGTCTATACTTAGGCATACTTAGGAACTTGTAAGTCCCATGTGGAGTTCTTAACAGGATCTGTTAGAATACCACAGACCAAATGATTCTAACCTACGCTTATTAAAATCTCAGTTCCATTTACCTAGTGTGTATTCTGAATAGCCCATCTATTCCTGGCACTTCATTTCAAGATGTACCGAACAGAAAACGAAAGTAAACCTATGATCATCACTGATTGGTTCTGTCCTTTGGAGAGGATTATGACTCCCCTGGGAATCAGGCTCAGGAGGAAACCTGAGAGTGGTCATGCCTGGCCCCACAGTGTGCTTTATCTGAATAAATCCTGAAAAGTTAAGAGGATTAGGTTTCAATTTTTTTTCCTGTGACAAAGATCTTCCTATCACTTCAACCTTGGAATAACAAGATGTCTCCATTTTATATAAGATAAAAATTGTTATGAATTAATTAATTGAGCTCTAAATAAAAAAGCATTTAGTTCCGAATTACTTATTTCCAACTAAACATCAGGCATACAAAATAATGTGTCATACTATGATGGATCTGAACATGGCCTTCCATGAAGAAGCTGGAAAATAGGTATTCAACATAGAACAGGTCACTTTAAATAACATCCCTTTGAAAAGTGTCATACAAGAAAGAGTGAGAGCTACTGAAAGATTCTGGCTTGTTTTCTGGCCTCCTTGACTTTCCTTCAAAGGGACACCAGGAAGAATCCTCCCAGGTTTCCACTGCTTGATCATTGTGCTCTTGTGCTTGGTAAGGCTGGAACTATGTGCTCTCCTTGGGTGGCTGGGTGACTGGTGGTGGCTGCAATGGCTGGGTGCCCGTGGCCGTTTTGATAGAGTTCAGGGTTTTGCTAAACCAAGAGTTTTTTGCAGCTTGGATTTCATTCATAAGAGCTCCTCTCTGATGTTCAAGTTCCTAATTAAAGCAAGAAAATCATCTGAATTAAATAAATGTTTTCTCTCTGCCAAATAAATAAATAATAGCGTACAGCTTTTTGGAGTCCCAAGGTACATGCTACCAGTCTTCCTCCCACAAAACCCAGGAGAGATTTAATTGGCTTCTTAATAAAAGGATAAAGTTGAGAGTTAAAAGATTTATCAAAAAACTAGAATCTGTTATTTCTCTCAACAGTGAAAGAAAACCTCATTTTATTCTTTTTTTCCCCTGCAAGTTAGGTCCAAATTTAGGTTTAGGCTGTAGCCCAAGATAACAGGTTTAAAAACCACAAATAGGCTGGGCGCAGTGGCTCACGCCTGTAATTCCAGCATTTTGGGAGGCCGAGGTGGTTGGATCACGAGGTCAAGAGATTGAGACCATCCTGGCCAATATGGTGATACCCCATCTCTACTAAAAATACAAAAATTAGCTGGGTTTGCTGGTGTGTGCCTGTCGTCCCAGCTACTTGGGAGGCTGAGGCAATAGAATTGCTTGAGCCCAGGAAGCAGAGGTTGCAGTGAGCCGAGACTGCGCCACTGCACTCCAGCTTGGGCAACAGAGTGAGACTCTGTCTTAAAAAAACCAAAAAAATACCCACAAATAAATGTAAACATATGCATGAATTTTTACTGATAGTATAAGCATAATGAGTTCTAGTTCCAAAGAAATAGGCTTTGCCCTAAGAATGTCCAGGGTCAGAGCAGACACCTGGTGGAAGCTGGCTGATGTGGTGGAGGCTGGCGACATGGCAGCCAGGCCACTGGCAGGGATCACTGGGAAAATGAAGGAGAGTCCATCAGAAGCCAGGACTATTTCTAATTATATTATGCTCCAATATGGAGAAAGATAACGGGGAAAGGGGTTTGACAAAGCTAAAGATAAAAAGAAGCTCCAAAGAAACGAACGGGTGTCAGCCAATGCGTGACTCTCAGGGTAGGGACAGCAGAGTGGGTTTGATTTTTCATTTTCAGGATCAGTCACTGAAGTGACCAAATTCTATGAGAAAGGATGTAAGCAAAAAAATCTCAGGGTAAAAAACACAAAAAGCATATGCTGAATTAAGTCCTCATAAGATAGAATTTTAGTTATTAAAATTTCATTTAAAATTATATATTTGTTTATATCAGTGTTAAGAATACATGATATAAAATGTGATTATTTGGGACACATTAGTAGATAGCAAATGCATAAATCACACGATTCTGACCTAGATAGGTATATTCTGAAGTACTAGAGTATCCTGGACCACTAACTGTTTATTCTGTCTTCTTGTTCTTTTATCAGATCACCAACCTGAATTTTACACTTGGCCTCCACCAGCTGCAGCTTGGTTTGTGCCAGTTCCAGCTCCATCTCTCTCAGCTGCTTCTTAAGTGAGTCCTTCTCATCATCCGTTTCAATTCCTTGGTCCTCTCTGCTGTCGGCTGCTAGTTTTAAAGCGCCCTCCTTGCTGAAAATGTCACTGCAGTGTTTGCATGCCATCATTTTACCCTAAAGTACGCAAAAGAGGTGACCAACATCAAGCTGTATTCCACAGGCAAAATCACTTTCTGAAACAAGATATGACTTTTTAGATGCTGCTGACTGTCGTCAAATGCAGGCCCATTTCTGAAGGGAAATTAATTTTCTTGTGCTACAATCAAAATCACGGCAGTCAGCCCAAACCCAACTATCCAAGACAGGTGCTCCTTTTTCCTAAAGCATATCTAGAAATACCCTAGAAATGGAAAGTATTGTAGCATCTCTTTGAAATCTGTTCCAGAAATTTTGTGCTATCATCACTCTTACTAGATGCCAAGCCTCACACCAAATGCTCTACTTGTAGCATTTCACTTAGTCCTAGAGCAACTGTACGAGTAAGCACTATCATCACCCCATTTCATAAAGAAAGAAACTCGGAGTTTAAGTCACCGGCCTGTCGTAGACTGAGGAAGGCCATCATGACTAACCTAAATCTATCCTTGCAACAAAGTACATGTCCTGTTGTTGAGGTTTAAGTAAAGAGGACCCTACTGTTTAAAGGAATGTAAGTAACTACCACATGCCGAGATTGCCAAGTGGGCCCACAGCACCGAACAACAGCAACTCTTTTCCAGATAATAGTGCTGTTGTTTTCTTAAAATATCTTCAAAAATAATTCATTATGGAAGCCCTCTTGGGGTTGGAAAAATAATAATAATTCATTAGAGATAAAATAAAATAAAAAATGATTCAGTAGAGATAAAAGATATTACACACTGTTTCTACTTTGGTGTCCTACTGCGACAAGCTCCATGTGTCCCTCACTGTGCCCATCCTCCTCTCTTCACACACACGGAAAGCAACTCTCCACCACACATTTGCCACATCCCAAATGGCATGTCTCCACCATTTGGGCCTGAAGACTTTGGGTCATCTTTTCATTAGCTCCTCTTTCATCCCATGTCCAGCTTGTATCCCATTAATTTCTTCCTCTGACGTCTCTGAGCTCTTCCCATCCCAGGCCTGCATCCCTAAGGGTCACCTTCTCAGTCCTCACTGGCTTCCTTCTCATCACATCCGTAATCTTCTCCTGATATTCCTGTTCATTAATATTCGTTAGACATGTAAAAACCAAACCTTGTCACTCTCTTACTTAAGAACCTCTGAGAATAATTAGGCCAGTATAGGCATATTGTAAATATTTGTTGTGTGTTTACCGTTGACTAAATATTTGTTGACTAAAAATGTTAAAGAAATAGCTTTTGATCTGAGTCTTAAAAGTTTACAAAGCTGGCTAAGTAATTTTATTAGGCTGAACCACATGAGAGGGAGGGAGGATGACATTTCAGCAAAGAGCCCACCAGCATGTGCAAAGTTCCCTTCAGATAACTTCAAAAAATTCAAAATGGCTTAAGCAGACAGTAAGTGATATAGCAACAAGTAAGATGAGAGATCCCTCTGCCAGGTCATAAAGGTCTTTAAATACCACGCTGCCAAATTCTGATTTTATCCTGTGGAACATGTATTCATTTACTCTATCAAGCCCTGTGCTACATGTCAAAGATAGAGCAGTAAGTTTGAAGAGCTGCAGTCTGGCAGACCTGCCAAAGTGTGGTGGGTACTACTGATTCTCACCCAGTATCCTCTTCCCCTTTAGGAACAGACCCTGAGTTTATTTGAGCTGACAGTGTGTCTAGGTAAATTGCCTCAAAGCTGCTACGTAAGCAGAAGTGTAGAGGGGAGCTTCTCAGAAGGCTGCTTAGAAAGAGCTCACCCAGGGGAATGAGGCCTTTATATCTTGCATCTCCTTTTGGACTAAAATTCTGCCATAGAGTGTGGGTGTGATGGCGGGAGCTCTAGTTGAAAGGATTGGTTTTTAGGTGACCCTTAGGATAGAAGTCCACATGAAGATGTGGGTCACTAATGACTGATTAGCTTGGGACTAATGACATCAAGGATTGACCTTTCTAGTCCTAGACTGCTTTTATGTAAAATAATCAACACCTTTTATGTTTAAGCTAGTGTTATTTTGGGTTTTCTATATGTGGCCAATTTAATTCTAAATTGATACACAGAGTAAGAGTCAAATATCACCTTATATTTGGGAACATTCATTCTGATTATAGCGTAAAGAATGAACTGGGGGGTGATCGTGACAAAAGAAGATTATCACAGGAAACTGGAAAAACCAAACGCTATCACACCCAACAAGACAGGAAGCAGCACTAGAGAGAGGGGAGGCAGTACAGTCTCCCAGCTAATGTTACTGACTTTAGAGTCTGACTTCCTGGCTTTAAATTCTGGTTCTACTAGCTGTGGAACATCGATCAAATGAATTAACTGTTTTCAGCCTCATCATCAATCAAAAAAGAAGATATAGTGTCTTTTTTTTTTTTTTTTTTTTCTAATTTTGTACCAGGGTCTCACTGTCACCCAAGCTGGAGTGCAGAGGCACGCTCACAGCTCACTGCAGCTTCAGCCTCCTGGGCTCAAGTGATCCTCCCACCTCAGCCTTCTGAGGAGCTGGGACTACAGGTGCATGCTACCACATACAGCTAATCTTTGTATTTTTTGTAGAGATAGGGTTTCACCAAGTTGCCCAGGCTGGTCAACTCCTGGACTCAAGTGATCCACCCGCCTAAGCCTGGGCAGAGTGTTGGAATGACAGGCGTGAGCCTAGTTCTTCTTCTTTATTCTGGCTAAGAAAAGTTTACGTTCCTCTTCCTGAATGTCATGACCTTTCATTAGGTAGTCTCACCTACTTTGCCACTATTTTCTTCTGTTCCTTAATACATATTCTAATCACATCAGTCTCTGTAATGAGACACTGTAATACTCATTCCTATGTCTGGGTCTTCATTCACATCATTTCTCCTACAATGTTCTTTCTAAACATTTCTCTCTAATTTCTATCCATGCTGCGTTAGTCCAACCTTCTCCATAAAGCGTTTTATGGTCTATAGTTCTCACGATATTGCTTTCTCTACTACTCTGATTGTCAGTGTAATCCATCTTAGCACTTTTATTTTTTATTTTTTGAAATGGAGTCTCATTCTGCTGCCCAGACTGGAGTGCAGTGGTGTGATCTCAGCTCACTGCAACCTCCACCTCCCGGGTTCAAGTGATTCTTGCGTATCAGCCTCTACAGTAGCTGGGGTTACAGAAATGAACCACTACGCCTGGCTATTTTTTGTTATTTTTAGTAGAGAGGGGTTTTCACTGTGTTGGCCAGGCTGGTCTCAAACTCCTGACCTCAGGTGATTTGCCCACTTTAGCCTGCCAAAGTGTTGGGATTACAGGTGTGAGCCCAGCCCAATTTAGCTCCCTTGAACTGCTTCCTAAGTTCTTCATTTGCATGGGTACATAACTTGTCCTACAGGAATTTTTTTTTTTTTTTGAGACAGACTGTCACTCTGTCACTCAGGCTGGAGTGTGATGGTGTGATCTCGGCTCACTGCAACCTCCACCTCCTGGGTTCAAGCAATTCTCCTGCCTCAGCCTCCTGAGTAGCTGGGATTACAGGCACAAGCCACCACACCCAGGTAATTTTTGTATTTTTAGTAGAGACGGGGTTTCTCCATATTGGCCAGGATGGTCTCGATCTCTTGACTTCGTGATCCGCCTGCCTCAGCCTCCCAAAATGCTGGGATTACGGGCATGAGCCACCACACCCTACCATGTTTTTTCACATAGAGCAGCAACATAATGCGTTTTACCACCAGGGGGCAGCAAGTAAACAAACGCCACAGGTTTTCTTTAAAAATAAACCTCTAAAAATTTAGTGCAAGAATCAGTTACCCAACACACGTTTTCCTGCTAAGTTCTATATTGCCCATGGTGTTTACTTTTAAAGAGAGTGATGGGATGATCCTACTGAGTCCCATAGTGAAGCCACATCAATTCAGGTTCAATCAGATATGGGCTTCTGAGGGTTCTCAGGTTCACACTGCCCAAGAAAGCTACATGGCTCATCTCAAACTCCGGCACCTCTTTGTGACAATGTCAAATCCTACCACCTTTCATGTTACCTGCCTCTGACAGTCCATATGATTTATGGGAGCATCATAACCTTTCTGCTGGGAGGGAAGACAGTCACACCTGGTTGGAAGAGAGAGATCCTAGTCTCCATAATTCCTATTAATAAATCCTTTAATACAAAATAGTGGTTTGGGGGTTCTTTCAGGTACTTACAAGCTGTGTGACTTTGGAAGAAATTTCATCACAGGATGATTTCACTCCTTACCTTTACCACTTCCAGCTCCTCCTTGCTGGCTGCTTGCTGTTTCTCCAGCCTGGTACTCAACTGTGAACAGATCTAAGGGTGAGAAAAGTCTTTTACTAAAAAATAGAACAACTCTTGCAGCATGTACACATAGCTACCTATCAATTCGTATGTTACTCCGTCATATCTGATCCTAGAAGGAATTCTGCAAATGAATAGCACTGCAAATGCCAGTCATTTCTGAAATGAGCAGCAGATGGCCGGAGTGTTCCATGTGTAAAGCACACTGCACCTTAATTAGTAGAAATATACAGGGGGTAGATTTGTTTTCTTTCTGTCACTAGCCTTCTGTGACTGCTTGAATTCCTGGCCTCATTTTTGGAATCAACCTATGGAATCTTTGTTTAGTATTCACTTTGTACAAGTTAGTATGCTGAGAAAACCTTGATGAAAAGAATTCTAGACAGAAATATCTCCTGTCTACTCTCACAGAAGCAGTTTTCAATCACGAAAGTTTCCTTAAGAAGTGGCAGAGTGGGCCAGATGTGGTGGCTCACACCTGTAATCACAGCATTTTGGGAGGCTGAGGCAGGTAGATCACCTGAGGTCAGGAGTTCAAGACCAGCCTGACCAACATAGCGAAACGCTGTCTCTACTAAAAATACAAAAAATTAGCCAGACGTGGTGGCGCATGCCTATAATCCAAGCCATTCAGGAGGCTGAGGCAGGAGAATCACTTGAACCCAAGAGGCGGAGGTTGCAGTGAGCTGAGATCGCACCATTCCACTTCAGCCTGCAGCGAAAAGAGAAAAGCTCCATCTCAAAAAAAAAAAAAAAAAGGAAAGAAAAAGAAGTGGCAGAGTGGATAGAGAAAATAATACAGACTCAAACTCTTATTAAGCAGGTTTGGCAACAGAGCATAGAAACTAAAAGCTTAGCTGCTGGAGTTAAATGTGAGTTTAAGGCAGGCCAGTTCTATTTCTTTCTGGCTTTGTGAGCTTAGGCAAAGTTATTAATCTTTCTAAGACTCAGTTTCCTCATGATTCAAAAGTGCTGTGCTCTAGCAGTGAAGTAGAAAAAAAGGATGTAAAGGGGTTAGCATAGCACCTGGACAATAGTAAGTGTACAATAAATAAAATCTATTATTATTGATTCTGAAATAAGGTGCTAGCAAATATTAGAAATGGTAGAAATAGGTGCTTTCATGGCCAGGCGCGGTGGCTCATGCCTGTAATCCCAGCACTTTGGGAGGCCGAGGCGGGCAAATCATGAGGTCAAGAGATCGAGACCATCTTGGCCAACATCTAGTGAAACCCTGTCTCTACTAAAAATACAAAAATTAGCTGGGCATAGTGGTGTGTGCCTGTAGTCCCAGCTACTCGGGAGGCTGAGGCAAGAGAATTGCTTGAACCCGGGAGGCAGAGGTTGTGAGCCGAGATCGCGCCATCACACTCCAGCCTGGCAACAAAGTGAGACTCCATCTCAATTTAAAAAAAAAAAGAAAAAGGAAAAAAATCTGGATAAATAAGTATTGGATGTTCTAATCCATTGCCTGAAGTAAGAATCTTTTATTTTAGAAAAATAGATGAAAGGTGGGAGGATCGCTTAAGCCTAGGAGGTCAAGATTGCAGTGAGCTGTGCTGAGGCCACTGCACTCCAGCCTGGGTGACAGAGCAAGACCTAGTCTAAAAAAAAAAAAAAAAAAAAAAAAATAGAAAAAGAAAAAAGGATGAAAAAACAGAGGATGTGAATTTTTAAAGTATAATTCTGGCCAAAAACATATATGGTCTACCTCTATTGTCAAAATAGACATTAAAACAAAATCCCTATCTACTCAAAAATAGCTCTGGAGATGAGGGCGCTTGCATGCTGAGTTTAGTTTGTTGGGTTTCATTCCATTTCTCCAGATCCAAACCGGAAGAAGCATTAGTAGGACTGGATTGACTGATGTTAAAAAGAAGAGATTGGCTGGGTGCAGTGGCTCATGCCTGTAATCCCAGCACTTTGGGAGGCTGAGGCAGGTAGATCACCTGAGGTCAGGAGTTCGAGATCAACCTGGCCAACATAGTGAAATTCCGTCTCTACTAAAAATACAAAAATTAGCTGGGCATGGTGTCACACACCTGTAGTCCCAGCTACTTGGTAGGACAATCGCTGGAACCTGGGAGGCAGAGGTCGCAGTGAGCTAAGGTCACACCACTGCACTCCAGCCTGGGTGACAGAGCGAGACTCTGTCTCAAAAAAAAAAAAAAAAACAAAGCAAAACCAAAGAGAGTGATCACCCTGGTAGATTTTGCGAACCTTAAACCCTTTTAAATAAACTGAAACATTATGACACAGACCCAGCAATCACCAATTCCAACTATAAAATGCATTCAGATTGTGTCTTATATCCTACTTATCTTCAAACAGATAGGTCTGTTGCCTTTTGCATTACTTCAAGGGCTTGCCAGATAATATTCGAGAATAGTCCCAAGGATTACTCTTTGAAGAGTGCGGCGTTTGGTGGCTACCCATGACATAATGTGGCAACAAAGAACACGCATTTGTAGCGATGGCAAATTCCAGAGCACAGAGTCTTTAATGTTCCTTGTATCAGTTAGTGTTTACCACCTCTTCTCAAGATGCCCACATTCAACATCTGAGGACCACCTTCAGTGTTTTCTCTTGTCTAGCAAACAATAATAATAATAATAACAACAACAACAACAACTATCTTTTGTGTCTCCCTTTTGTCTATTTTCATTATTTTTTAGTTCAGGGACCTGGTTCTTCTTACTTGGACTCTGGTGTTCGTGTTCTGTCTCCTTGGTTCCACATTTCTCACTGCGACAGATTAGTACCAAAAATATGTCCTTGATTATGCCACTTTCCTGCTCAAAAAGATCCTACCACAAACAAAATAAAATACAAGGTCCCGAGCCTCGCCCTGAAGACTTTCCTTGATCTGGACCCTAACGTCCCTTTGCTTCTCTTTTGCACTGCAATCACTCACCAAATGATTACTTTTCTCTTCGCTAATCTACTTTCATGCCTTCGCACATCCTGTTCCCTCTTCCTACCATTTCTATCTTATTCTCCATCTCCACAGATCCAAGTCTTGCCTAGCCTTGGAAGCACAGCTCAAAAGGTTTCATTTCCCACATGTAATAAGTTTCCTTTCCTCTTATTTCTATATCGGTATTATCTCCACGTTATATGATAAGCTTCTAGAGAAGAAAAATTGCATTCATTCATCTCTGTCTTAATACTTTGTCTGTCAAAGTATTAAGCCTCACAGAGAGCAGGCATTAAATAAACATGTTGATTATCATAGACGAGTAAAATAGCTCTAAAGTTTTATTTCTCAATCTTCCATGAATATGCGGATTCCTTATGGAAAGATGTTCATACTATATTAAGTGAACTAAAGCTAGTTACAAAAAGAAAGGATAAATGATACAATTCATCCTACTGATATATAATACATTTATTTATAAAGCATTACTTGTATAGCAACAATGCATATTCAATATACTGCAATGATTATCTCTTACTAGAAAGATTAAGGGAGATTTGTTTTCTTTGTCCTTCTCTGCACTATTCTAATTTTCCACAAGAACACAAATTTAATTTATAAGCAAAAAAACCACATTTTTTTAAAAAGTAAGTATCACACTTCAGAAACCTATGTGAAGTGGAAGACCCCAGGGAGATCCTTAGATCAGATGATGGCATCTGGTACTTTAATTAATTCTAGAAACCTGGAACTTGAACAGTTCACTCAGGGTATCTCAGCAATGAGAGGAGTCCTTGCCATGTCCAGCCAACAGGAAGGATAGGCAGATACCGGTGGATACCCGGGAGGAGGGCTTTCTGAGACCACTCTGGTAATGGGGGCCAGAAACATCCTCAAGAAGGTAAGTCCTTTGTTAAAAGCATCTTAAGGTTCACACAGAAAGCTTCCTGCTAGCATTGGCCTGCAAAGGGGAAGGCCACCTAGCCATGTGGGAAAAAGAGTGTCTACGACATTCTGTTCTATGATAGCAACGGACACACTGATCCCCGAGCTACTGCTGTTTAATACAAAGACTAAATTTTGCAAAAAGGCAAATGTTACAAGTGTGATCTACTGGAAATTAGCTTCTGAGTGATGCAGAAACAGGATTTCAAAAATCATCAAAAGGTTTTCCATTCCTCTAAATCTACCAAACATTATAAACAACCAACAGATTGTTTTGGTCAGTTAGACCTCCCAAATTATCAGTTATGAGTAATAAGCTATAAGTAATAAGTATGTCTAACCACTGTCTGCTTCGAAGCAGAGAGTGAGTCACCAAATTTAATAAATCTGGAAAACTATTCTGGAAACTTTAAAAACAAAAATATTTCTTCCCCAAAGAAAAACAACAACAAAATAATTACTTTTTTATTTTTATATTTTTAGAGACAGGGTCTTGCTCTGTTGCCCAGGCTGGAGTGCAGTGGTGCAATCATAGTTCACTGCAGCCTCAAACTCCTGGGCTCAAGTGATCCTCCTGCCTCAGCCTCTCAGGTAGCTGGGACTGCAGGCACATGCCACTATGCCTGGCTAATTAAATTTTTTTTTTTTCTTTGTAGAGATGGGTCCTGCTGTGTTGCTCAGGCTAGTCTCAAACTCCTGGCCTCAAGCAATAATAATAAAAAAAATTACTTTTATAGCCGCAAACTATAACTAGTACATTACCTGTTTATATTCAGCAATAATAGCTGTAGTCTTCTTTATTTCGTATTCTGCCTTCTCTAGCTGTTTCCTGAAGACTTCTTTTAGCTAAAAAGAATAGAATGAGAAACATCAGGATTCAGCCAAAATCTTTTTTTTTTTTTTTTTTTTTTTTGTTTTTTGTTTTTTGTTTTTTTTTAGACGGAGTTTCGCTCTTGTTACCCAGGCTGGAGTGCAATGGCGCGATCTCGGCTCACCGCAACCTCTGCCTCCTGGGTTCAGGCAATTCTCCTGCCTCAGCCTCCTGAGTAGCTGGGATTACAGGCACGCACCACCATGCCCAGCTAATGTTTTTGTATTTTTAGTAGAGACGGGGTTTCACCATGTTGACCAGGATGGTCTCGATCTCTTGACCTCGTGATCCACCCGCCTCGGCCTCCCAAAGTGCTGGGATTACAGGCTTGAGCCACCGCGCCCGGCCAGCCAAAATCTTAATACATTTTCACAAACAAGTCTTTCTGATTCATAGTCAGTAACAATGGTAACAATAACTATATAAATTATTTTCATGGAAGCTGCATCTTGATAATTTGAAAAACTCAATCATCTCCAGAGATGCAGAAACCTTACTTTCTTTCCTGTAAAGTATGAGACATATGAGCAACCCCATTATAAAATTGCTTATGGTTGCTACTTCTAAACACATTGCTATATAAGTATCCATTCAGAAGCTACCTTTATCCTTATAAGAGTCTAAAACAAAACATCAAGGCAACACTGCATGCTAAATTTGTTACTCTTGATGTTATAAATTACTGAAAAAAAATCATTGTAGGCTTCCTTATTTATAGTCTACCTTTACTGCTGTTGCCTCTGAAGGCAAAAACAAGAGGCTTTGGGGATTGGAGTTAGAAAAGATGGAGGAAGGAAGATCAGAGCTTTTGAGGACAGGAGATTTGGGGACTAAAGAAACTGACTTTTGAAGGAGCTTAAGTGACACATAATGGCAGGTGGTTGTTACAGTCACTGAAATGTTAAATATGAATGCTATAGTTGTAACCACAATTATTTTTGTGGCCCAGCAGCTCTAGAATTCTAGGTATAGGAGAAAATCAAGAGAGTGCAAAGCATCTTGCATTGTTCTTTTTTTTTTTTTTTTTCCAAGACGGGGTTTCACCATGTTGGTCAGGCTGGTCTTGAACTCCTGACCTCTGGTGATTCATCCACCTTGGCCTCCAAAGTGCTTGGATTACAGGCGTGAGCCACCACGCCCGGCTGCATTGTTCTTGCCACTTACTAGGTGAGTGTTCCTTCCTATTTTAGGTATCAATTGCCTAAGGGCTAGTATATGTCTATGGAACCATGGAGCAGGTAGAGCCTGGGCTAAATTCATTTGCCAAGAGCTTTATACCTTATCTAAAGTAGCTTGAGTGGCCCAAAGATAGCAGAAACTAAAGGAAAAACAAAACCCAGCAAGGAACCTAAATAATCTAAAACTGGGTAATCGGCCCCTGAAAATTTTTTAGGTTAAAAAATATGTGTGTGAGTGTGTGTATATAACACACACACACACACACACACACACACACACACACACACACACACACAATCTTGGGCCACTGTAAATGCCAAAGTCTTATTTAATCAAATTGCAAAGAAAAAGAAATCACGGAACACTTTTCATAAAGTCTGGAAGGTGCTAAATGACACATTCCTCCACATGTAACTTTAGTGGAACTTTTTTTCTGGTTGCTTGGATGTAGATTTTTGAAATGCTTTATGCTGTGTTTTAAATTTAGTATTACTGATGTCTCAGAATGAAACTCATTAAAATAAGTTAATCAGGGTTTGAGATGCTTCCTCACTTTATACAAGTTAGCTGTATTAGTAAAATTCAAACACACTCTTGGCAGAAGACTTCAATTGCTTGTGAAGAGACTCTGACTCATAATCTAATCTGTCAGGCCCCTGGCTGGGACTGACAGGGGTAGAAATCACTGATGAAGGAGCATGTTCTTCCTTGGGGAAGCTGGAGGCTCCAATTCTTTGGGCCAACAGGCCTCTCTGCCCCTGTCCTGTACTGCCCTGCACTGGTGGCATTTTCCGGCTAGTTAGCCTTACAGCTCCCATGACAAGTGTAGGGTGCTAACTTCAAGGCTGGTTCCCAAAAGGTTTCTTTATATCCCCCCAGGAAATAGGTGTGAAAGCTTTGCCAGGAATACTGATGCTCCTTGAGGTGTGAATCAGGAAAATGAAGTGTGACTGATTGAGGCAGGGGCGGCGTGGCAACTCCCAGCAGAGATCTCTGTAGGCTTTCCGTTAACAGCGCTCATAAACTACTTCAGAGAAGTCAATTATCTTGGAGATACAACACAAAATTTGCACGTTTGTCAAAGAAAGCTTTTGGATCAGAATTCCAAGTTACTAAACCTAGAGAAAGCTCAACGCTCTTGCTAAATATCTCGGTAAGGCAAATTCCTAAAAGCTGTTCAAGGGTAGAAATCCCTGCCTCCTCTTTTAACACCCTTCAGAAAAAATGTCAGAAATGTCGGATGGAAATGTTGAGTAAGTAAACTCAACTACTTTCATTACTGCTTTAACATCACCTTTGATTTGGAAGAAATTTAACTTTCCTTCTTTTTTATAGTATTAATCAGTTCCCTACCAACATACCTATGTAAAGAAAAGCCTATATATTTCTTTTACCTGGGCTGTCTCTTCCTCTTGCTTCCTCTTCTCTTCTTCAGTCTCCACCAGCCTCTGTTTGGTCAAGAGGAGCTCCTTATTCAACACATCTGCCTTGTCTTCTGCCTGCAAATCATGGGGCATCACAGTCATACAGAGCATAAAGAACGTGTGTGGAAATTTTCTCCAAACCCAATCTTCAGTTGCTGTTCCAAAATTATTGCAAGCTGTTCTTTTACCTCCTAGCTCAGTCAAGGGGTGGCTGCTTTCACTGAATGCCAACTATGTGCCAGCTAGTTGGCACACATTATTTCTAATCCACACCAACAATAACTTTACAGATAATGACAGTGAGGTTGGAAAAGATCCAACAAACTGCGGTCAGATCACACATCTAATAGTCATGATCTGAATTCAGATTTGAATAACCTCAAAGTCCATCCTTCTTCTGAATGCTTCTTACAGATCTTTCGACGTTACAACAGCACTCACTCTCTACAGATGGATCTGATGAAAGGGTAGAGCCTCACACAGAAACCTCCAACTGGTGGAGCATAGGGGTTGACTCAGAGAAAAGGAGCAGACAGGCTGGTCTGAGGACAACAGTTAGGTGAGAAATTCAAAGACTAGCTGAGGTAAACCTGCCCACATGGTCACTCACACTGGGCAGTGAGTCTAGTAAGAAGAAATTAAGACAAAAAATCCGTGATAGAGAGAGCCATGAAGAAAATGGAAATATGGACCAGGAATCCAGGAAGAAAAGATTGTATTTCTAGAATGTCCAGGAAGAACTTGGAGAGAGCACTCTGGTTCTATCTTGGACACAGGCCCAAAATTAACTATGAAAGCACTGTATTTAACTTTGATGATGGTGTCTATTTTATACTCCGGGGTCCCACCTTTTAGGCCTCAGCTTCAAGTTCACATGGCAATGAAGCACACCCTCAGCCCTGCCCCACTCACCCCCATCTAAGTTAGCTCCTCTATCTACATCTCTCATATTTCCCTTGATAGGACTGTAATGACAACTTACAAGTGGGATTTATTTGTCTTGCCCACTAAACTTTAAGCTCCAGGAGGTAGGAACCATATCTCTTTTGCTCATCACTCTATCCCAAGCACCAAGCCCAATGCCAAGTACAGAATAGGTGCTCCCTAAGTACTTGGTGAATGAAGAGATATGGCTAAATCATTGCAGATGGGGACTACGTGAAGTGGAGACGGCAAGGGGGCCACAGGATGAGTTTCGCAGAGGGAACCTAGACACAGAGAGGCAATTAGGTGAAGGAGCTATCCCTGGCTGACAGCAGCAAAATGTTATCCGAGTGATGGTGAAAACTGGCCAGGGGGCCTTCTGTCTGTTTTCTGCCACATCTCCTGCATGTCCAGACGGCCTGGCCAGCACAGTCTGCTGGTGACTGTAGATAAACTACATTCTAGCTGCTCTGCTTGCTCTGTCTTCTGGCTCCTGATGGCTCATAGCCCAGTGGTTAGAACTCTGTTTGCAGATCATTTGGAACTATTGAGTAGTTAAGGTGAAAAAGTCCCGTAAAAGTCTTTAGGACTCTAAAAATTGCTCTGATGCATTAGATTTTGGGGGGAAAATCTACACAGAAAATTAACATTCTCAAATGAGAGGCAGACCTCGGGAATGCAATATGAACACTGCAGGTTATTTGTAAGTTGTAAGACATCTGATGTACGGTCATGAAAGTGTCTGGCATGAAGTACAGCATTTCAAAAGAAAATAAAAAGAGAAATAAATAAATAAACCATGGAAGCACGAAGCTTCCACTCTAGAGCCGCAAGCCAGATGGCTGACTGAGGTTACTCGCAAAGCAGGGAGACTCCTCCCCCCAAGTCTCCGGCAGACGACACACAGTGGCACTTTAAGAGCAGCTGTACTGCTCATTTCGGGGTTCTTAAAAACTGAACCAACTCTCTCCCTGTAACTGCAGCCCACTGGTTCAAGTCCTACCCCAGAATGTTTGAGCCATGCTAATAAAGAAGACTGCAACTAAGCCTTCTTCTGACAGGACCCACGGCATTTCCACTTTGTGAAGACGCCGATCCTTTCATAATGTTCATCGTGACGCTCTGAAATAAATGGGATTTTTTAAAGTTTGGTCTCTTGGAGAGAAATTTAAAATTTTAGCATTTTGGCCAGGTATGGTGGCTCACACCTATAATCCCAGCACTTTGGGAGGCCGAGGTGGGTGGATCATCTGAGGCCAGGAGTTAGAGACCAGCTTGGCCAAAATGGCAAAACCCCCGTCTCTACTAAAAATACAAAAATCAGCTGGGCGTGGTGGCAGAAGTCTGTAATCCCTGCTACTTGGGACACTGAGGCAGAAGAACCACTTGAGCCCAGGACATGGAGATTGCAGTGAGCCAAGACTGCACCATTGCACTCCAGCCTGGGCTAAAGGGTTAGTATCCAGAATCTACAAAGAACTAAAACAGATTTGCAAGAAAACAAACAACCCCATTCAAAAGTGGGCAAAGGATATGAACAGACACTTTTCAAAAGAAGATATATATGAGGCCAAGAAACATATGAAAAAATGCTCATCATCACTGGTCACTAGAGAAATGCAAATCAAAACCACAATGCGATACCATCTTATTCCAATTAGAATGGCAATCATCAAAAAATCTGGAGACAACAGACGCTAGAGAGGATGTGGAGAAATAGGAACACTTTTATACGGTTGGTGGGAGTGTAAATTAGTTCAACCATTGTGGAAGACAGCGTGGCAATTCCTCAAAGATCTAGAAATAGAAATTCCATTTGATCCAGCAATCCCATTACTGGGATTATAAACTGTTCTATTATAAAGACATATGCACACGTATGTTCATTGCAGCGCTGTTTATAATAGCAAAGACCTGGAACCAACCCAAATGCCCATTGATGATAGACTGGACAAGGAAAATGTGGCACATATACACCATGGAATACTAAGCAGCCATAAAAAAAACGATGAGTTTGGGTCCCTTGTAGGGACATGGATGAATCTGGAAACCATCATTCTCAGCAAACTGACACAAGAACAGAAAACCAAACACTGCATGTTCTCACTCATAGGTGAGTGTTGAACAATGAGAACACATGGACACAGGGAGGGGAGCATCACACACTGGGGTCTGTTGTAGGGGCAGGGTAGGCACAGCGGGGGGATGGGGAGGTTGGGGAGAATAACATGGTGAGAAATGCCAGATATAGGTGATGGGGGGATGGAGGCAGCAAACCACCTTGTCATGTAAGTACCTATGCAACAACCCTGCATGATCTGCACATGTACCCCAGAACCTAAAGTGCAATAAAAAAATATTTTGCAGGGTGCGGTGGCTCAAGCCTGTAATCCCAGCACTTTGGGAGGCCGAGGCGGGTGGATCACGAGGTCAAGAGATTGAGACCATCCTGGCCAACATGGTGAAACCCCGTCTCTACTAAAAATACAAAAAATCAGCTGGGCATGGTGGCGCGTGCCTGTAATCCCAGCTACTCAGGAGGCTGAGGCAGGGGAATTGCCTGAACCCAGGAGGCGGAGGTTGCGGTGAGCCGAGATTGCGCCATTGCACTCCAGCCTGGGTAAAGAGTGAAACTCCGTCTCAAAAAAAAAAAAAAAAAAAAAAAAAAAAAAAAAAAAATTTTAAAAAGAAAAAGAAAAGGGGAAAAATGCTTCCCTGGGAATTTTTTTTCAAAAACACCTAGATATATATGCTAAGAAGATAAATTATTTTTATTTGTACATTTTCTGCTAAGCAGTATTCATTAGGTCAAGATTAAAGCAACTTCACTTATTTCTATTGTTACCATATACAACATCTGCAGCAATTGCTCTGGGTCCTATAGGGAGGAAGAGTCCATTTTTCTAAGAAGCTTAATCCACAGTTTCTCCTCTATGTTAAACAGAAAAGTAGGAACAATTCTTCTACTTTTGAGTAGGGCCAGATCCAAAATAACTTGTGTATCCCTTTAACAGCGTTTTTTTGAATCTTTGTACAGCCAACCACTACACCTCACTTAAGTAGGAATTAGCTTTAATGTTGATGAATAAAATGCTAAGCACATAAATAATCAAATTCCACTTTTGAGCCCAAATTATAAAGCCTTTGCCATAATTTGATAAGATTGAGAGAAACATTGTCACGATTAAGTCTAAACACTTACCAACATCTTATAATATCTCATTAATATTTAAAGTTCGAATTGCAATCTAAGGCTTCTGCTACATATATATAAGAGAAACGAGCATTGCAATATGTGATTTCATCATGAATTAACCAATAACCTTAGCAAAGACTCAGCCCTAATATCAGAAACGAGGATCTTTGAGAAATGATTTCTGAAAGAACTGACCAGGCCAGTTGTTCAACTTAAAACAAAACAAAATAAATTTCCACTTAGCTCATGTAGCTTCTGGTCTAACAGAACTTGCTATGGTGAGGGGGAACCTAGGCCCCTGGTCCTCAGCAGGATAGTACTAATCGTGTCTCTGTCTCTTCTCTTTCGTTCCTTGTAAATAGGGAAGGACAGAAAAAGCTTGACAGCAGGTAGCAAACAGAAACTGGAATGGAGATGTTGTACCTTTTTTCACTTCTAATCACTGAGAAATCTTTTTTTTTTTTTTTTTTTTTGAGACAGAGTCTTGCTCTGTCACCCCAGGCTAGAGTGCAGTGGCGTGATCTCGGCTCACTGCAACCTCCGCCTCCTGGGTTCAAGCAATTCTCCTGCCTCAGCCTCCTGAGGAGCGCACCACTACACTCAACTAATTTTTGTATTTTAGTAGAGACGGGGTTTCACTATGTTGGCCAGGAGAGTCTTGATCTCTTGACCTTGTGATCCACCTGCCTCAGCCTCCCAAAGTGCTGGGATTACAGGTGTGAGCCACCTCGCCCGGCCTGAGAAATCTTTATTTAAGGAGTCTGAGAGAGGGTGAGTTTCTCAGAAAAGAAGGCTCTGTCAGACAGAAAAGCTGAAGAGCCTTTGGTGCCCAGGAATCATGAAACTAGCACTAAAATGATAACAGTAAGGAATGATTCATTTTTGCAAAGACGTAATTACCTAATTAGTGTTCGTGGGCTTACATATTGTCTTAAATACAATCTGCTTTCATATTTGTTTAAAGCTTGCCAGTGTTTTGCTATTTTAATTAAGAGATCTGGTTTTAATGAACTGGGAATGGAAAAGTACTGGGCAAACTGGGTGAAGGCCGGCAAAGCTGTTACCTTCACTTTCAGGCTGGGGCCCTTCCTGGAAGACTGGTGGAGCAGGTCACTTCAACTGCAGGGACAGCTTTTTGGTAGGCAAATAAACCCCACTGAGGCAGAAACTCCAAAATCCGAAGTTAAGAGGAAATACACATGAAATAGCAGTTTGTATTCTTTCATCTAGATAAAAAGCTCCAAAAGGGAGGGTTCAGGCCATATTTACTTTTCTTAAAAGAGAGGAAAAGCGTCAAGGAGGGAAGAAGGGAGAGGAATAATGAAGGCCCTGCCTGATGGAATCTTTTCTTCAGGGGCTGTTCTATCATTCATATCATGAGGTGCCCAGGTACTCAATAATTAATTACTTCAGGAATACCTAAAATGGCAGTCACTCCAGACTGACTCACATAAAGGATTCTCCTGGTGAGGTGGGTGGATCACAGGGTCAGGGGTTCGAGACCAGCCTGACAAACATGGTGAAACCCCGTCTCTACTTAAAAATACAAAAATTAGCCAGGTGTGGTGGTGCAAACCTGTAATCCCAGCTACTTGGGAGGCTGAGGCAAGAGAATTGCTTAAACCCAGGAGGCAGAGGTTGCAGTGAGCCGAGAGCACGCCACTGCACTCCAGCCTGGGCAACAGAGTGAGACTCTGTCTTAATTAAAAAAAAAAAAAAAGTTAATATTTTTTTCTGATTATTAAAGTTATATATATTATTTAGTATTATATTCATGTATAATATGAATATTATAATATTCATTATTTTTCTGATTAAAAGTTCTAGTACTCATTTTTACTTAACCAGTGGTGGTTAGGTAACTTAAGGTCTTTCTATAAATTCTAAATTGGAAAAAAGTATACAGTACAGATGAACGTAAAAATTAGATTTAATCTTACCACCCAGAGATACCTAGCAGTCACATTTTGATGTCTTTCTTTGTGGGCTTCTTCCCTATCTATGGTTCCCCACCCTACAAGATGACCCAGTGCCAGCAAGTAGCCCTTGAAATTTAGATGCAAACATTATGAAAGAAAAAAAAAAGTATTTAAAAAAATACTATATAATTATCTTCCTATTATTAAAAAAATTATTCCAGTAAGACATTTTACAGACAAACTGTTATTCTCCCCTACTAGTGAACATAGACATTATCGTATTTTTATTTTTTATTCTTATAAGTAACACTGCAGTTAATAACCTTTATACATTTTTTTACCAAATTTTTATTTTTTTTTAATAGCTTTACAAGTCGGAGGATCTCCAGTTTCTTCATCTATATAGTTTCCTCATTTATGAAATGGAGGATTAAAAGAATAACTGCTTCCTGGAGTCATTAGGGAGATTAAATGAGATGATGTTTATAAATTGCTGTATTTAGTGCTTGGCACATAGTAGGTACTCAGGAGAAATTTAATTTTATTATTGCTTAAACCTTTTGAAGTCTTACCACATATTACCAACTACATTTCCCAAATAACTTTGAAACTCTCCTTAACTCATTTCACTGCATCCCAACTGAATACAACTGTTTAAAAATTGTTTCATGCTGGGCGCGGTGGCTCAAGCCTGTAATCCCAGCACTTTGGGAGGCCGAGGCGGGTGGATCACGAAGTCAAGAGATCGAGACCATCCTGGTCAACATGGTGAAACCCCGTCTCTACTAAAAATACAAAAAATTAGCTGGGCATGGTGGTGAGTGCCTGTAATCCCAGCTACTCAGGAGGCTGAGGCAGGAGAATTGCCTGAACCCAGGAGGCAGAGGTTGTGGTGAGCCAAGATCGCGCCATTGCACTCCAGCCTGGGTAACAAGAGCGAAACTCCGTCTCAAAAAAAAAAAAAAAAAAAAAAAAAAAATTGTTTCATTTAGTCAGCCATCATGAGAAAATTATTAATGGATAAGAGATTCAAGATGGCAGAATCAAGTGTGAATCAAGACCATTTGGAAAGCGAACATAGAACCAAGACTTTCATTAGAGCACTGACTTATCACTACAGTCTCATTAATACAAAAATATGACTGCTGAGGTAAGGCTGAGTCGACCCTGATTGAATGGAGATCCTGCAACCTTCTCTGGTTCTGATTCTCCTCATCACATACTTCTCATACCACTTCTCCGAATGGGCTGGCTGATGAGGTCTGTGGTTAACAGGGCCACAACTTTTTAAAAAACAATTCTCTAGGCTGCTTTTTCTACTTTCCCTATCCTGTGTCCCAAGCAACACAGTTATTGTTGCTGTTTTCTAACTCCATCTAGTGCCAGCTCGCTGTGTCCTCCTCTCCCAGACAGCACTGTTTTCCTGAACATGGGGTCTTATCTCCGACTTTAGTATGGTTAAAACTTTTGAGCCACAAAATTAGCTATCTAGATGAGAAAAAAGGAATTGTGGCAGGGACCATTTTCAGCTGTCCTTTAATTTTAAACATTTAAGCAGACTTATGTTATTAGTGGATTTGTATTTTAAATATTGTCAATTACACCACAGGTAATGATTCTTTTACAGACTCAACAGTCTGCGTGTCAATTTCTCTGACCCTCCATTATCTGTTGGGGATATTTACTTTGTAGAAGTCAGAAAATAGAGTGGTAATTTTAAATCTGCACAACACTGCTTCCATATTGCCAATTATTTCTGAAAATGCTCACAAGAAAAAACAGTAGGTCCTAAGACTGTCAGCTTTGTTGGAAAGAACAAGGGATACTAAACAATTTAAGGTCTTCCTAGCAACAACTGGCATTTAATGAACATGTACTATTGTAGAGCTTTACTTATTTTTATTTTATTTTATTATTCATTTTTTTTTTTTTTTTTTGAGATGGAGTCTTGTTCTGTCACCCAGGCTGGAGAACAGTGGCATGATCTCGGCTCACTGCAACCTCAGCCTCCAAGGTTCAAGCGATTCTCCTGCCTCAGCCTCCCGAGTAGCTGGGATTATAGGCACATGCCACCACCCCAGGCTAATTTTTGTATTTTTGGTAGAGATGGGGTTTCACTATGTTGGTCAGGCTGGTCTGGAACTTCTGACCTTGTGATCTGCCTGCCTTAGCCTTCCAAAGTGCTGATATTACAGGTGTGAGCCACTGTATCCAGCTATTTAATTTTTATATCATCTGTATAAGAGACCACTTTTACACCTATAGACAGCTTAAGAACTGCCCAGGGTTCATAGGGGTGGCCGCAGCATTCACAATCGGGCAGTCTGGTTCTTAGCCACTCAGATACCTATCAATCCAACAATCCAACTCTTAATGTAGGTACTTCATATAAAACGTCACATTTATTATAGAGAAGATTTTTTACTGGAACAAAAAGTAAGGTGCCTACTGTTAGAGTGGCATTAGTACAGGTATATTCTTGGTGACTGATGTTTTCAGATAATTATGCTGAGAGCCATTGGTTCAGGAAAGGTATCAACAAAGGCATAACAGAGTTTAGAGGTATAAAGAAAGTATGTCACACATGCTATTTAGAAATGACCCAAACGTTTCTCAAAGGCCTGTTTTCCACTCTCTCCAATTAATGCAAACTGTCCCTGCCCCTTCATCAAAAACAAAGTTAAGAACAAAGCAAGCTTGCGGGGTGGGGTAAGGGGGAGGTGGTGAGAACACACTGGTCTTTGTCCTGAGGAAATCATCAGTCTCATTTCTACCCAGTGAATGACAAGTTTACCTGATCCAAGTCATTCCGTAGAGCAATTTTGCTTGTTACTAGTTCATGGGCGAGGTCGTCATTCTCTTGTTCCAGCCTCATGCTGGCCTCCTGTAATCTTCGGTTCTCCCTCTGCAGAAAAAAAGCAACAGCCGGAAGTGAGGATTAGTGCCTGGACGTACAGAAATGAACAGAACTGGTGAGGAAAAACAAGCAACAAGTGAACTTTCAAAGGTGTAAAAGGAGGAGGCGCAAGTGGCACAGGAAGGCAGGATTGCCGTCTGGGAAACAACAGTGAGTTTGGCTAGCAATGCGGGTGCGGTTCTCTACGCGGTGAAACTGTCCCCTAAACTCTCAAGATGGAACTTCATCATAAAAAAAAAGTGCCAAAAGAGCAGAATTTCCGAACATATCCCCAATCCTGCGAGGTTTTCACATAGACCTAGAACACAGACACAAGCAATTCTTCATTTAAAACATGCACAGTAAGTAGTCTCACCCTTGACCTCAAGAGAAGCCACAAGACACAGGAGGAATGAAACAGGGGAACCACCAGACATTTCTTCAAATTGTTTTTCTAAGACAGGGTTCATATTAACTGACTATATTTAAGAGCAGTAAATCAAGAATCATGACACATCGTTCATGACTTTGCTATCAGCTGACATTTTTATTCTTTGAGTAAGAATATATTTACTTTTCTGAACACCAATTTTTGTGTGAGAGCAACAGTCCTTATAAGAGCACTAGCTTTTTTTCCTTTTTTAAAACTTCAAATTAAAACATTCTGGGTAAAATAAATTACTGAGGATTTCTGCACCCCATCTTGAAAAATCTGAAACAAATTTACATGATAAACAAAAAAAAAGTCACTAATTCTTATGAAGCAAGTAACTAAACATTATGAACTTGGTATGTTCACAACTGTTTTCAGAAGAGCTATTTCATGTCTTCCATTCCAAAGTATCAAAAGTGCTTTCTTTGCTACTGTTAACAGTTATAGGAGATTTAAAATAGAGCTGACAGGAAAAACTAATGTGATGAGACCTTCCTGTTTTTCACATTTACACTCCTAACAGTGTTTTCTGCAAAAGCAGCAAAAACTCAGACAAAGCAGTGATACAAAACCAGAAGACAAATATATGTTTTGGAAGATAGTTTATCATAGCATACCAGGTAAGGTGAAGTTAATTTTACCTTCTATGTAACAACCTGGTGTTTGTTATATTGAACAAAAACAGCCAGGTACAGCGGCTCACACATGTAATCCCAGCACTTTGGGAGGCTGAGGCGGGTGGAACATGAGGTCAGGGGTTCAAGACCAACATGACAAACATGGTGAAACCCTGTCTCTACTTAAAAATACAAAAATTAGCAGGGCGTGGTGGCATGTGCCTGTAGTCCCAGCTACTTGGGAGGCTGAGGCAGGAGAATTGCTTGAACCCAGGAGGTGGAGGTTGCGGTGAGCCGAGAGCGCACCATTGCACACCAAAACGGGGGACAGAGCGGGGCCTTGTTTCAAAAAAAAAAAAAAAAAGAGGAAGACAGTTTTTTTCTTCTTCCTGTTTTTTAAAAGAAGGGCTAAGAAACACATAGTAAGGGCAAAGTCTGAGGCTTTCACAGAGGCAGAGGATCCACAAACAGGGAAGGCCATCAGAGAAGTTAAAGGACGAGCCTGCACCTTGATTATACCGGCCACCAGGGCCTACTTCTGTCCTTTCTTTTGGAAAAGAAAAAAACAGAATAGTTGGAGAATGTTAAAACATTATTGAAAAAGATATCTACTAAAAAAGATAAAAACAATCCCGAATCACTTAAATACTTTAAATAAATCCATGATAGAATTTCACTCAGTGTTAAAATACTGGAGAAGGCTGGGTGCAGTGGCTTGTGCCTATAACCCCAACACTTTGGGAGGCTGAAGCCTGAGGATTGCTTGAGCCCAGTGTTCAAGACAAGCCTGGCCAACATGGTGAAACCTCATTTCTACTAAAACAAAATACAAAAATTAGCCAGGTATGGTGATGTACACCTGTAATCCCAGCTGCTCGGGAGGCTGAGGCAGGAGAATTGCTTAAATCTGAAAGGCAGAGGTTGCAGTGAGCCAAAATTGCATCACTGCACTCTAGCCTGGGTGACAAAGTAAGATCTGTCTCAAAAGTAAAAAAAAAAAAAAAAAAAATCCAATAACAGGAAATGCTTATGCTGCCTTGTAGGAAAAATAAATAAAAAATAACTGGAGAATCTCATTATATAACAATATATTAACAGATACTAACTTTAGGTAGTGAATTTTTTTATTGTCGTCCTTGTCCTTTTAAAAATGTTTTTAAGTTTTCTATAATGAATATATATTTGCAATAGGACTTAAAAATAGTTTTATTAAGAAAAAAAGCAAGTCAGAATTTTAATTCCATTGGAAGGGATAAGATGCCAAAATGAGAAAGAAATATTCAAGTCCACTTCTGTTAGAAGGTCATATTCTACACAAAAACATACTGAATCCTCCTTTTTGACCAAGATTTATAATGTAACCCCTCAGAAGTGCTGCCTTGCTAGGAACTCTTTCCCCAGATGTTCCTGAGAAGACTGTGTGTGCTCTTGTAGGGGCAACTTGTACTCATCAGATTCTGTCTGTTCCCCCAGTCTACAGAAGTGCCACCCTCCCACAGAAGAATGATAAATGTGGAGACTAAAAAACAGATTTCTAAAAAGCCAGAGCTTCTACAGTGGAATCTTTCAATCTTTGCCTAAGTAACACGATTTCTAGCAGGGGCTGGAGAGTTAGACTTTATTTCTGATATATCTATTACTCCTTTTCATTTCTTGTAGAAAATGTAGATTAAAAAAAAGATAAACTTTTTCAACAAATTTCCTCCTAGCCAGGAAAGAGTAACAATACCAGCACAATTTCAACATGACTTATTTCACAATGCAGGCCGCTTACGCAGGGAAGAGATTTTTCTCATTTTTTCATACATCTCTTCAAGAAACTAGGATAAGGCTACTTCAACAGCTATCCCTGAGTTAAGTGTCCTATTGCTGTTGAAATTGTACTTGTGGAGCCCCCAAGTACAAAAAGCTCCCTCAACTATTATGTCCATTACGCTCATTGGGCACAAGTGAAAATGTTGCCACTACCAGTTTTTCAGGTTACAGTTATATGCTTAAAATTGAGTTGAAGTAACCTCCAGGTAAAGTCGTAGGGTGTTCGTGGAAAAGTACTCTGTTCAAGTATTTAGAAATCATACCAGGTAGCTACTTCACTGTTGATAAGAGATACATGTTTGACGGATCATCTGTTATATAAGAAAAAGGTGTGAGTTCAGCTGAAGTTCTGACTAGTAACTTCTCATTACAATGACTGTTGCAATGAAACCCTTCCTTACAGACACACAGCTAAAGGGGTAAGGGCAAGGGTGGGAAAAGATTTGGGGGAAACAGTGTCTCAGGGTCCCTGCAAAGCAAAATAGCCTAAAGGGCACGCCTACTGGCTTTTGCTTTAGCAAGAAGCTTCAATTCAGTGTCTGCAAAGCAAGCAGTACAGTGGGAAGTGTCAGACTCCTGCTCTGCACTCACAGACAAGAGGGAAAGCAAGCTACAGGGCCAAAAATGCAGTATCGTCCTCCAAAGTATGAACCCAGGGGTGTCCTCATGAGTCCTCCAAAGCCACTGAATGCTACTGAGCACTACAGTGAGACCCTGCTACTGAGATGGAGATTTTCGACAAAGAACTTGCCACACTTACCTACTGAGGGTTAAACAGAGCTTATATTACTTGGCTGTCTTTTCTAGTTCTTCTCAAGGAGCCAAAACTGTTTTCAAACTAACTGATTCCAGAAAAAGTTTGCCTGTATACTAGAATGGAGAAGATAGTTTGGTTTTCATGGACTTGGGAAAGGTAGTAACCCTGCTTGGTTTATTTTGAAATGTTGACAAGGTTTGTCCAGGGGAGACAGACTTAAAGTCACCCCCAATAATTTCAGTCAGCCCAGAGAAATTCACATGCTATAAGTTTGCACAAGCAGACATGCTGAATGCTCAAAGCCTGTAAACAAAACAGGCAGATTGGTTCCCTCTTGCCTTTCAGAAAAGATTACAGGAGACACTGCTTACATAACTCTTAAAACTCACATCACACCATCTGACACATATACGCCCCCATCTCATAACAGCTGACACCATTTGAATAAAAAGCAGATAACAACTGTCCTCATACTTTCTCTCCTCATGGATAGGAGATGTACAGCTGGGAAAGTTTGATTAGTAACTTTTGGGAGGAGGATACTGCATTTTTCAAAGACACAGACACTGATGTTACAGAAATACATAGATTAAAAAAAAAACTTACCTCCTCAAAAGTCATAGACCAACTACCGTTTTCAATCATAGGTACAAAGACAATTGAAAAAAACAAAAGAATATCCAATGAAATTGAACACCTACTAAAATATTTATGAAATGGCAATAACAAAAACAGACACTTCTTAATGCTCTTTTGCTTTTCCTTTGAGTGTCACATAACTCTAAGTTCTCTCTGTGACTGCAAACATTCAATGGAACAAAGTATACTTGAGGCAGCCAGTGGGCAAGTCTCAACTCAGGAAGACTCATATCCTAAAACTCCTCCCTCTCCACAATGCTGCTTAGTTTGCATGAACGACTAAAATGCCTTATGTGGAACTATTAGCAACTACGGTGTGAGTTGTTGATCCTGTGTTGTCAAAGCTGGGTGGAAGGAACTTCCTTATATGATAAGGTCAGAAATGTTGCAAAATAGTTCATCTTCAGACAAAAGAAGGAAATTGCTGGGCAGGGTAATGCAAAAGACAAATGAATCCCAGATCTCATTTGTACCTAGGGGCTGAAGTCTGGGTGAAGCAGTTCAAGGGATTGTGAATGTCATTTATTCCAAAATGAGAAGCCATAAAAATGTGAACTGGTAATTAAAAGTAAACTAAGCTTTAAAGGAAAAAATGACAAGGAGGGAGGCAGCTTTATAAACCCTAGCTCAATATTTTGGGTGTTGTCTGCTGCTATGATGAATTTTTGGCACATGTTTTTAAAGACTTTTAAGGGTCAGGAGAAAATGTTTTCCTAGAAGACGCAGTGCAAATGTCTTAGCAACAACA